TGGTTAAGGACGCTGGACTCCCACATGGCCGACCATGGTTCAAGTCCTGGACCTGGGGGGTAGGGCAGCCACTCAGTTGCAATGCAGAGCCCAGCTTTCCACCCACGTGGCACAGTGGGGGGCCTGAGTTCCCGGACAAGCACTCTGGGGTAATGAGAAGACAGAGGTGCCGAACTCCTACAACCACAGACTGCTGTGGACATGGCGTTTCACCCAGCAACGTTCATTCAGTGTTAATAATGTATATTTGTTTCTGACTAGGAAGATAAAACACGCTTACGGCAAACATTAAGAAAAATTGTAAAAGTCATCTATAATCCCACAGCCCAGAGATAAGGACTGTTAACACTTTGGTGTCTTTTCTCTAAGCCACTTCGCCATGCCTTGGTATTTTACAACCTCGGAGTGCTGGCAGAACAGGCATCGGGAGTATCTTTTCACCCCGCAAACTCCCCGAACCACGACTTTGTAGTGTCTGACCCTTTAAGATGTGTCCCGATTTAGTTAACCATTCTTTTCTTGTTGAGTATTTTAATTATTTTCTATCAACCCTATTTTAAAACTGCAGCGGTCGTTGGAGCAAGAAGCTATACCGCCTAGTTGTATATGAATGGAAGAATCAATGCGTGAACAGGGTCGCACGGTGTTTAAAGTGTGCACAGTGGAGAGGGGAGTTTGGACTCAAAGCCATGGTGGCTAATGGGGGTGGAAGGTCTGGAGCTGGCCAAAAGAATGCTCTTTGAATTCTTTCAAGCCAGAGCCTGGCTTTGGGAGGGCTGGTAAAGGGACACTCTCTCCCCGGGACCGGCCTGAGGGACAAAGCTTGGCAGGAACCCCAGGGAACTTGCCAGCCAAGCTTCCCTGGTGGTGCAGAACTGAAAGAGGCACTCGCTCTACTTTTCACAGCATTCAAAAGCAGAACTGTCAAAAGCTGGCCCCCAAATGCTCGTATTATGTGGGAGAAAGTCTTGGGGAGAAAATGAGGAAGGAGGGGAATTATGCAATTGAAAACACGTACCAACCAGACAGAATAATAAAGCACAGACACAAAATTCTGCACTCGATGGGAATCGCATTTAGCCGTGTTTTGTGGTTTCAGAAAAAGGAGAGACTGACTCAGAGAGACAGATGGAGACACACGGGGTGAGGAGAAAGAGAGGGAGAAAGGGGAGAGACAGTCGGCAGCAACCAGCTGGACCTGCCCCCCAGGAGAGGCTCGATCTTCCCCTCATCCTGTCTGCCCTGAGTCTGGAGAGAGTCCCCAAGACCTAGGGCCTGACCTGGGTGAGGAGAAACCAGAAGACCTCCCCACTCCATCTGGGGGCTGGGGCTATTTTTTTCTATATTTTTCTGTATATTTCCTATGTTTCTAGTTGTTTTTTTTTTTTTTTTAATCACCCATGGAATATTCCTTAACAATGAAAAGGAACTAAAGGAACTTTTTTTTTTTTTGGAAGAGGTTTTTGCTATAGGGCGTGTGTGCTCTCCAGAATGATAGAGACAGAAAGTGAGAAATCACCCCCCAGGGAGGATGGCCACGCCACAATTCCTTCTCCTCCATTCTTCTCTCAGGATCTTGGGCACGCACACACAAGCCTGGCTTGAGTTTAAGCCACCGGATCCTGGACTCGAACCGCGGTCGACTACATGGGAGTCTAGCAACATAGCCATTATGCCAACTGCTGGTCCTAATAAAAAGGAACTTTTGATAGACACAGCAACTTGGGTGGCTCTCAGGCACTGGGCTGAGTAAAAAGTCAGTCACAAAAGATTACATATGGTGTGAGTTCATTGATGGAACATTCTAGAAATGACAAAACTGTGGAAGGCTGGAGCAGATTAGTAGTTGCCAGAGGTCACGGATGATGAGAGGGAAGGGATGACTGTGACCATGAAGGATGCCACAACTGAAATGCCCGTGGGGGTGCTTTCAGGCATCTACCCCCGGGCCAGAATAACACAGAGGTATACACACATATTGCACCAACATCAGTTTCCCAGTGTGCACACAGTTCTATCTCAGGAAAACAGGTGAAGGGTCATGAGACCACTCCATACTATTTTTGCTGTTGCCTATGAATCTATAATTATTTTCAACTAAAAAGCTACCCCTCAAAATTACCAAAAAAGAGATCATATACTATTCGTATAATCGAAGAGGCTATCCTAAAAAGGAAAATGCCACACGGATGAAAGCTAAAATACTCATGACAAAATGTCATGACCCAAAGGTTATGATCCACCCAGAAATCTTTACTTAAGGAAAAATCTGTCCCCAGAATAAAAGGCTGAACAGAAACCAACTGAGGGTTGGGAAGGAGGGTGACTAGGGAAGGGCATTCTGCCTTTTCTTGGCTGTGTGACTTTCCTCAGGGCACCGTGCCTGTCTGGGCACAGAGAGGAGCCCTACGGACTCGGGGAGCCGGCACTGGTGACACACACGCTGCTCCATAGACAGGACGTCCCCTCCTTCCTTCAGGCGGCCACCAGCCATGACAAGTGCCCTGCCCTCACCTGCTAGGTCAGGAAGGGACACTGCGCTGAAAGGGCCAGTGGGAGAATCCTTCACAGCCACCAAGTGTGCTGTAAGAGTTTGAGACCCATTAATAATAGTTGGGGGGAGATATTCATTTTCCTGAGAACGTCTTTCTGGAGTTATAGTACATTTATCTTTATGAGGAACCCTTTCTTTTTCTTTTTCTTTTTTTGCCGGTAGGGTACATGTGCTCACCAGAGAGAGAGAGAAAAGTGAGATATCATCCCCCAAGAGGGATGTCCACGCTGCTGTCCTTTCTCTTCCACTTCCTCTCAGGATTTTGGACACACATGCACACACACTCAGTAAGATTTTCAAGGCCCCAGGTCCAGGACTCAAACCCTGGTTGGCCATGTAGGAGTCCTGTGCCTTAACCATCATACCACCTGCTGTCCCCTCTTTATGAGTAACTTTTTTAAATTTTTATTTATTTTTTATTTATTTTTTTTTACCTTTTGAAGAAAGAGAGATGAGGGAAAGGGAGAGGGACAGAGACAGGTATTTGTTACAGAGTCGCACCCTGTCAGGATCCTCTGGCCCAGCCTCCCAATTAGCCAGAATTACAGGTGTGCACAACGACTCCCGGCGTGTTCAGGTCGGCCTGGGAACCAAACCTGGGTCTCCCGCGGGACTTGCAGTCTCCCCAGCAGTGGCACTACTTGAGCAGCACTGCAGCTGGGCCTTTAAGAGCCATCTTCAAGAGCATTACAAATGAGATCACACTGAAAGAAAAAAAAAAAAAAAAAAAAAAAGCTAAGGTTTTAAAACAGAAACAGACAAAAACCGCAATTCCTTTCCTTTTTATTTATTTATTTATTTTAGGTTTTTGCCATAGAGTGCATGCATTTGCCAGAGAGAGAAAGAGAGGGAAAATGAAAAATCACCACTCGGGGTGGATGGCCACACAGCAATCCCTTCTCCTCCATTCTCCTTCTGGGATTTTGGGCATGTGTGCACAAGCGCCCAGCATGATTTTCAAGCTGCCAGTCCAAAATTTGAACCATGGTCCACCACATGGGAATCCAGCACCTTAACCACCAAGCCACCTGCTGATCCCATCCATTAGTGTTTTTAAGTGGCAAAAGATGAAGACAAACCTTTCTGCAAAGGTAACTGTAAAACACTAAAGGCGCTGCCGGTTTGGAAATGCCATCGTCACTGTTCGCAGCAGGTCTCAGAGGTCGGTGGACATGCGTGGGCTGGCCCGAGGAGGCTGAGTTCTCAGGAGCAGCAGGGAAGCCCTGCACTGTCTGGACGGAGTTCTACTGCTTGAGACTCTGAGAACACTAGGCTGGAATCCAAGCCTTTCATTCACAGATGAGACTGAAAATGTGCCCCCAGTTCTCAGGGCCTGCAAGTGGCAGTGTAGGGTGTGCTTTTGAAAATACATCAGCGTGGGGAGTGAGGCTCGCTTTCAAAGTGGCGATGTAGCTCTTAGAACAGTAATAACATTTTAGTGACACTTCTCAGTGTACAAAATGCTTTTGTAGAGCTGTTTCCTTGGCTTCTCCCTCCTGCTGTAAGATTCCCTCCACCCAGGCCTCGCCGGGCGCCCAGAGGAAGGTCAGCCGTCTGCCGCTTGAGTTCCTCCGGTGACAGCAGCCCACGCCGTGTTGGACAGCTCCTGTCGTCAGCAAGCTCTCCCCGCCAGCCAGGTGTGATGTCTCTGACCCAGCCAATCAACCCCGCACACGGCCTGTCATTCCGCCGTTTCAATTCTACTTTTGTACATTCTCAAGATGAAAACATCTTTATGAGACCCTGTTGAAATGCAAATATGGCTGTGAACATCTACAGCCCCACGGAAGTGAAGACCTTTGAGGTGGAGCGTTGGCAGGAAGCCCCTTGATGGGATGACTTGGGAGGCCAGAGGCTGGGAGGACCAAACTGGCTTTCTGCAGGGGGTTCTTTGGTTGCTCAGGGCCTGTGTCTCCCTGAGGAATAAAACGGAAACATCCCGAAGGGCAGACACCTTCCTCTCGTAGCTTCACACCTGGCTACTGGAAACCATCCCATCCACAGTCACAGTGTCTCCCCTGGGGAGGTTCACAGGGTCCAAAACCTTCTGGCCGAGATGGAGTTACACATTCCCGCTTCCAGCCTGCCTCCCTTGCAATAAGTTCATGGGAGCGATATAAAAAGATAAATTCAACACCAGAATAGCCATGCCCAAAGTCAGGATAAACATCTGTGAGGACCAGAAATGCAGTGCAAACCCGAGGAGCTGCCTAACGTTGACGCCAGGGGTCTGACTCCAGAAGCAGGAGGAATAGCCAGGAGTCTGCCCTCCAGTCGTAAGGAGCTGCATGAGCCCCATGTGAGGTCAGTTCAGTGACTGGGCACGTGAATTCCCCATGCTTATCACAGGGTGAGAGCCTCGAGTCACCAGCATAAAACCAGACCCCAGACAGAGTCCCAGGAGTGCAGGGAGCAAACAAACCACTAAATAGGGTGATTACAGACAGGAAAAGAACCACTTTGGGCCAGCAGGTGGCATAGTGGTTAAGGCGCTGGATCTCACATGGCCGACCTACTTGAGAGTCACACTGGGTATGTGTGTATGCGTGCCCAAAATCCCTGGAGGAGAATGGTGGAGAAAGGATTGTCGTGTGGCAATCCCCCTTTGGGGACGATCTCTCACTTTTTCTCTCTGTCTCTCTCTGGTGAATGCACATGCCCTAGAGCAAAAATGTAAAAAGAAAGAAGAAAGAAATAGAGAGGGAGGGAGGGAGGAGAAAAAGATGCCAGAAATGTGTGCATGTGTACCCAAAATCCCAAGAGAAGAATGAAAGAAAAGGGATTGTGGTGTGGCCATCCCCCTTGAAGAATGATTTCTCACTTTCCCTCTCTCTGTCTCTCTGACAAGCACACACACCCTTTGGCAAAAATCTATATTAACAAAAATTAATCCCACCTTAAGAGGCTGTGAACTAAAATTCTGAAACACATGAGGAAAATGAATGTTGACAGACAGCCAGCAAAATAATTGGGAGAATAAATCCACTACAGAGAAGAGTGAAATAATAGAATATCTGAAAACAACTTCATAATAAATAGATTTAGGCTTTTCAAATAAAGTCAGGAATAACACTCATAAGAATAATAACGCATAGATTAAAAACAGGCAGAAACTAAATGACATTTAGAATCATCAGGACATTGAATCACATAAACATTTAAAAACATTGGGAATGAGAAATACAGTGATTGAAATAAATTGAGGAGACCGTAAGTCTAGACTGGCTATGGTAGAAGATAGGATTAATAATTTGGAAGAGAGTGCACTGCTGGTGGGAGTGTAAATTGGTACAACCACTGTGGAAAACAGTATGGAGTTTCCTCAAAAATCTAAAATTACAATTACTATATGGCTCAGCAATCCTAATACTGGGTACATACCCAAAAGACAGGAACTCACTCAGCTGGAGAGACAGTACCTCTGTGTTCACTGCAGCATGATACACAATAGCTAAGTCAGGGAAGCAACCGAAGTGTCCAACAACCGAGGAGTGGATTGGGAAGACATGGTACATACACGATGGGAGACCACGCAGCCATCAAGAACAGCATCCCATCATTGGACACAAAGTGGATGGACCTAGAAGACAGAATGGCAAGTGAAAGAAGCCAGACTATGGAAGACAAATACCGTATGTCCCTGCTTAACATACACTGAACATCTGTACCCTGTGGTGGAAACTGAATGACTCAAAGCGTAGAGACAGAGACACCAATGAGAGATACTGAGAGAGGTGTGGGGGAGGTGGGAAGTTCATGAGAAAATTTGTAACGAATGTGAAAATGCAGGTACATAAGGGGAAGGGTCTACAGGACGGCACATCACAGCAGAATAAAAATATGGACAATTTAATACATATTTCAAAGCAAGACCCAGAACCGTTAGCCAATGTGCAGAACGTAACATAATGTGCAGTGCTGAAGAAGATGAACATGGGTATATGCTTGATTACTGTACCCTGTATGCACGCCTTTAAAAACATTCTGAGGGCCAGCAGGTGGTGTGGTGGTGAAGGCTCTGAATCCCACATGGCTGACCACAGTTCAAGTCCCAGACCTGGCAGCTTGAAAAATCACACCAGGCATGCATGCATATGTGCCCCAAACCCCTGGAGGAGAATGGAGGAGAAGAGATTGCAGTGTGGCCATCTCCCCTCGGGGGTGATTTCTCACTTTCCCTCTCTCTGTCTCTCTGTCAAGTATACATACCCTATGACAAAAACCTAAAAAAAAAAAAAAGATTCTGAATCCCACAAAGATGTACATAGATTACGTGTACATGAAAGTTATCATGAAGCATGAAAAGTTATCATTAAAATGAACATATATCTAAAAGATTAATTTAAAAAATCTAAAAAACAAACTATGTTAATGAAAAATAAGAATTTGCAAGAAAAAAATGACTTCACCAAGGATAAAGCAAGAGATAAAGAGGTAAGTTATGGGAGAGAGCGGTGTGGGAATTAGAGGCGGTTCCACCGTGACAGACAGCCCTGCGGACACAGCCGGTGCCCAGCCTGCGTGCCCTTGGCCAATCCCAGCAGTCTCGGCGGACAGCTCTGTATGGATGACAGCTTCATCTTGGGTGAAATCAATTAGCAAACGCTACAAATCAGGACTCCTGACCTCTGAGAGCCGGCTGTTAAACGTTTACCAGCACATCAATGCTCGTAGAGGTGATGCGAAATGCAAGCTTCGTTCTAATTGGAATAAGGAAGCCTTGGGAGGGTTTTGAACTGGAGAATGTGATGTGGTTTCATTCTCACATGATTATTGGCGTGAATAGCCCCTGGGGTGCAAGAGGGAAGAAGGGAAAATGGATTAGGAGACTACTGCAGTGGACCAGGTGACAAAGAGGTGGGGAACGGCCCTAGGGAGAAGAGTCCGTTTTTTTGTTTGTTTGTTCTTAAGAGTTTTCTTTGCTATAGGGCACGTGTGCGCTCACCAGAAAGACAGAGAGAGACAGAGAGACAGAAAGCGAGAAATCACCCCCCAGGGGAGATGGCCACGCCCCAATCCCTTCTCCTCCATTCTCCTCTCGGGATCTTGGGCACGCGCGCACAGGCAGCCAGCGTGAGTTTAAGCCTGGAACTCGAACCACAGTCAACTACATGGGACTCCAGCGACTAGCCATTACGCCAACTGCTGGTCCCGAGGAGTCAGTTTTAATGCCATGTTGTACTTTCTAGTATGTCCTCACTTACATCCTGGTCGGCCTCCGCTGATAGAGTGACTCCACTGGCTGGAGGGAACATACTTTCCTGGAAAGAGCATGCAGTTTCAATCAGTGGCCTTGGTTCCACGGCTCAGCAGTATCCCTTGGGAGAAGTATTTAACCTCTCGGAGTCACAATGCCTTGGGTGTAAAACTGAGAGAATAGCTGAAAGAGCGGCTGTGAAGACTAAATGAGGAAAGGAGTGTGAAATTCCCTCTCGTCCTTCCTTCCTGGGGCAGAGCGTCCTGACCTTCAGTCCCTGCTGATCCCTCCCTCCATCGATCAGTGTCCTAGAAGTAACAAGGGTGGATTCCCTGGGCTGGTTACTGGGCCCTCTCCATTCCCGGATGTGCCACCAGCACCACCTAGTGGCCAGTCTGTGTTCCAGCAGGCCTCTCTTCCCTGAAGACTTTCTGGATCCTCAAGGTTAAAGACTGCATTGCCAGATGTGACCCAGGGCACACCAACCTCCTGAGGTTCCCTGTCTGAGCTGCCAACAGGGCCTGCTCTCTGCTGCCCCAGCCCTCCCCTGCATGTCAGTCTTGTCTCCGCATCCAGATTGTAGAGGCAGACCCGTCTGTCTCCAGGATCCACTCCCTTTTCTCTGTGCCAGGAGTGCTAACGTAAGCCTTAAGGTAATTATTGGGTCCTCAGAAAAGTCATGATGCATAGAAAAATACGTCATGACTTCTCTGTTGACCCCGTACAGCCTTATTCTGTGTCTGGAGAAACTGAGGCCAAGACAGAGAAAGCAACTCACTTAAGGTCACTGGGTAGGCAGCTGTGGTCAGATTCGATCCCAGGGCTTTTCTCTGCAAGTCCAAGGCATTGTCCAGAAAAACCCAGCACAAGCTGAAGGCGTGCAGGTGGCTGTCGTATTTGCTGGGCTCCTTCAAAGAGGAGAAGTGAATACTGAACAGGAAGGAGTCAGGAGGCCCACATGGAGGGTCAAGGTCTGTTATTAAAAACTTGCTGAGTGGGACCAGCAGTTAGCATAATGGCTATGTCGCTGGACTCCCATGTAGTCAACCGTGGTTTGAGTCCCGGACCCGGTGGCTTAGAACTCACGCCGGATGCGTGTGCGTGTGTGCCCAAGATTCTGAGAGGAGAATGGAGGAGAAGGGATTGCGGTGTGGCCATCTCTCCTGGGGGGTGATTTCTCGCTTTCTATCTCTCTGTCTCTGTCTGTCTGGCGAGCACATGCTCCCTATAGCAAAAACCTCCCCCCCCAAAAAAAATTGCTGAGTAACCTGGGGAGGATCCATGTCCCTCTGTGGTCTTCACTATCCTCATGAGTAAAGCAAAGCGATCAGACCAGAAGGTCCCAGAGCTCCCTCAAGTCCTGACATTAAACCGCTGCAAACTAAGAAGGCTGTGGATAGGGCCCAAGGCTTTGGGCTCTGAGGCCACACCTAGGTGAGTCCCAGCTTTGCCACTCAGCAGTGGTAAGACAGTGACCAAGTTATTTGTCGGCCTCCATCCCTAGTCTATAAAATTAGGATAGTGAGAGTCCTCACCTGCCTACCTCAGGATTGTTGAATTATCTATTAGAACTTCTTAAACTGTGCTTGGGAGGCCAGTATAGTGGTTAAGGTACTGGACTTTCACACGGCCAATGGTGGTTCAAGTCCCCTGGACTTGGAGGTTTGAAACATACTGGGTGCATGTGTGTACATGCCCAAAATTCTAAGAGGAGAATAGAGAAGGGACTGCAAGCATGATTTCTCACTTTCTGTCTCTGTGTCTCCAGTGAGCGCACGCAACCTATAGCAAAAATCTCTAAAAACAAACATACAGACTGCGCTTGGGGAGTCACTAGGTGGCGCAGTGGTTGAGGCGCTGGTCTCCCACATGGCTGACCATGGCTCAAGTCCCAGATGCAGCAGCTTGAGATTCACACTGGGCATGTGTGTGCCCAAAATCCTGAGAGAAGAATGGAGAAGGGATTGCAGGGTGCCCATCCTCCCATGGGAAGTAATTTCTTGCTGTCTCTTTGTCTCATGTGACCTATAGAAAAAAATCTTCTCAAAAACAAAACAAAAAACTGCTTGATACAAAGTAGGTGATAATTTTTTAAAAATTTGTCAGAGGGCATGTGTGCTAGCCAGAGAGAAACAGAAAGAGAGAGAGAAAAAAAAAGAAAGAGAAAGCACACCCCCTCTCCCCCCAATAAGGGATGGTCACACTGCAGTCGGTTTTCCTCCATTTCCCTCTCCTTTTAGGATTTTGGGCACACAAGCACATGTGCCCAGTGTGTTTTTTTCGGTTTGTGTGTGTGTGTGTGTGTGTTTGTTTTCTTTTTCTTTTTTTGGAAAGATTTTTGCTATTGGGCTCGTGTGCTCGCCGGAAAGACAGAGAGACCGAGAGATAGAAAGCGAGAAATCACCCCCTGGGGGGATGGCCACACCACAATCCCTTCTCCTCCATTCTCCTCTCAGGATCTTGGGCATGCACACACATGCGCCCAGCGTGAGTTTTAAGTCACTGTGTCCGGGACTCGAACCGCGGTCGACTACATGGGAGTCCAGCGACATAGCCATTACGCTAACTGCTGGTACCCCCAGTGTGTTTTTCAAGCCACCAGGTCAGGTGCTCAAACCGTGTGGCTGCCTATATGAGATGAAGCTTCCTCGACCACCGGGCCATGGGCTAGCTCCGTATATTTAAAAATATTGATCCTACCTGATGTCTAATTCTTTATGTCGTACCACTGAGTCAGATCACCTGAAAGTCTGTACCACCGAGCCAGGTCCCATGAAAGTCTGTGCATTACACACAGAGCTGTCTACTGGTTCATTTCTGTGCCCTCTAGGACACAGTCATTACAGATGGTCACAGATGAGGCAATATTTAATGTCACATCTGACACACAAGTTTCCTTGTAGGGTCACCTGGATTTCAACTTACATAAGACCTGACATTCTTAGACAAAGGGAAGCCCGAAGAACGTTATTGTATCCTAAAGTCTATCATTCAAGATAGTACGGAGGGCCAACCACATAGCTCAGTGGTTAAGGGAGCCAGATCTCACATGGCTGACCACGGTTCGAATCCCAGACCTATCAGCCTACAAAACATGCCAAATGTGTGTGTGTCTGTGTGTGTGTGTGTGTGTGTGTGTCCCCAAAATCCTGACAGAAAAGAGGAATGGAGGAAAAAAGATTGCAGCATGACCATGCCCCATTAGGCAGAGGGAGAGAGAGGTGCTTTCTCTCTCTTCCTGGTGAATATACACACACTCTGGCAATCTTATTTATTTTTTCAAGAGCATGGAAATTAAAGGCCTGGATCCTAAACAAGGCCATTCTGGGTCTTAGTCTTCCCATTTGTAAAAGTAGGGATTGGACTAACTGAATATTTACAAAAGCCCCTATTATGGGACACACACCATGATACATGTTCTTCTTTTTAAAAAAAAATGATTTTATTATTATTATTATTATTATTTTAATTTGAGCAGAGAGAAACAAAGGGAAAGGGAGAAAGCATTCTGCCAGGTCCAGGACTCAAACGGCAGTCGGCCACGTGGGCGTCCAGCACCTTAACCACCACGTAACCTGTGGCCCTGACAGACCTTCACGTAGCTAAGACAGAGAGCAGCGTATACTGCCGAGGGACAAGGAACAGTGTGCTGGCTGTTTGCTCTCGTTTGGGTGGTCGATGGCTGGAGCCAAGGCTGGGCAGTGGGCCGGTGCCTCCACTCACTCCTATTCTTTGGGATCTCCTCCTACACAGGCAGATAGGGGGGCTGAAACCCTGCTGTGTGATGGGACAAATTCACTCATTCACTCGACACGTTTCTCACAGACCTTCTAAGTTAGGGGGCTCTTAAATGCTGAGGAGAAGAAACTGAGAGCCCAAGGCAGGGAAACGACTTGTTCTGAGTCGCATGGGAAGTTACTGGCAGGTCTGGGATGAAGAACTGAGGTGCCCACCTTCCCACCCAGCCCAAACCACTGTGCCAGTGGAAAGCAGCTCGTGCCCAGCCAGGGGGCCCAGCACTCGCTTTCAGTGGTCAAGGCCGTGGGCGACGGGCCAGTCCTGCCAGGAATGACGATCTCTTCCAGGGAGCAAAGGGGATTCGGGGTGTCCCTTGGACTCCTGAGGGACTCCTCCTTCATATCACCTCTCTCTTTTTATTTGTATGTTTTAAACTGGGTGGACTTGGAAAGCCACTCATCTTCCAGAGTCAGTCTCTTGTATAAAAGATTTCTCATGAAGTTGCAAGAGTTAGATGAGAGGGCATGTGTGATTGTGCCTAATAGACACCAGTAAACGTCGCGGGAGTGAGAAAGAAAACAGCGGCCCTGTCGCGGTGAGCGGTCTGCTGGCCCGGCACTCATGGACAGGCCGCGGCGTTCTCCAACTGAACATAAACACGTCTTGGAACGCCAGAACCAGACGAGCCAATACCGTGAGACAGAAAAATCCCACCCCGTAGCCCCGTCAAATACAGGCAAGAGCAGGAACAGCGTGCGAAATCCCACAAGTGACCCAACACCCCCCTCTCCTGGGCAACATGGGACTGGTGATCTTTTTTTTTTTTTTTAAACCACTTACAGCCCTCGCCTTGCTCCAGTCCCCCCTCTTAGATACGAATTTCCGAGACACCTAATCACTGAATCCCCTGCTTCCTGCGAGTCCTACTTATAACAAGCCACTCCTAATAGCCCTTCCCAAGATGTCCCGTGATTCCCCCAGGTGTGCCACAGCCTTGGAGCAGCATGAAACGGACCTCGCTTTGCTTAGCTATGACTAGGCTACTGGTGGTCTTTGCTGTGGGCCGTTAACAGTGGAAGTTCAGGTCGCATGATGGAATCATGAAGGGCTATACGCATGCACACTTGTATGAATGTGTGTGCAGACAGACATACACGTGCATGAATGTATATTATATGTACAGGTATTTATGTACGTGTGTACATGTGTGTGTCTGAGATATACATTTGTATGTATATCCCATGTATATGTGACTGTGTGCATCTAGGTGTGTGTGTATATACATATATATAATTTATCAGAAAGTTCTTTCCTTCCTATCACACAGTGTATGTGACTTACCACTCTGCTTATAAATAGAGCTGACCCCGCAGTCTAACGAGGTTCTGCTAGAACTTGGGAAATAACCATCAGAGATGAAGATAAACGTGCAGGAATCTGGCCACATGCCAGTCTTCGTCTCGTCTGCCGCTCACAGCTGCTCTGTGGGGAGGGTACGGTATTTCCTCCCTCTGTTTAAGGATAGGAAAACTAAGGCCTTTGGAAGTTTGCTAAGGGTCTGGGTCAGGATTTGGAACAGGACCGACTCTAATGCCCCCGGTCTATCCACCTTGCCTGTGAGCTCCTCCACCCTCCTTAAGGGGGTAAGGATGGGCAGAGCAGGGCCTGCTCTTCCTCCTTATGCCTGCCTGCCCTGGCAACCTGACCCCTCTGCCAGCCTCCTCAGCCCCATGGCATCAGGCCGAATGACTTGCCCTGGGGAAAGCACTGTCCATTCAAGATCAGAAGCCCTGTATGAATCCTCAGTTTACAAGTGGGAGAACTGAGGCCCCGGGAGCAAGCCCTGGCTCCTGTCTGGGCTTCCTGCAAAGGCTGGGGGGGCTGACTTCTACCCGCTGCCGGGGCCAGTGGTGGTATCTCCCCCAGCTGTGTTAACTCATGCCCTGTGGGTGGCTTCTGGTCAGCCATGATGGACCGATGCCCTGGATAGACTGGCAAATGCTACAAATCAGGCATTTGGGAGTTTTTTACGTTTCTTCCCCCAGATAGCCAGCTGCCAAATATTCACCCACATGCTACTAGCTTCCCTTCACCCATAAGGGAAAGGAATGATAAACATTAGTGAAGGGTATATTTGGGGACAACTGCCATCAGAGTGCAAGAACACTGA